TTTTTTTTTTTTTTTTTTTTTTTTTTTTTTTTTTTTTTGTTTCACAATATTCAAATACTCATGTCCTGTCGGAAATCCTGTTTATTTATTATTCTTGATTAACTAACTCTTAGCAACTCTTTAGTTAGTTAGATAAGCAATGCAATGATTATTTTAATATGAAATAATTAAAAGTAATAATTATTTGTATTATATATTGAATTCTTGCTTACCATACAGACTGGATCGATGCCTTTTTCCACCTGGGTAATGAAATATAAAATAAATTAATACGATATTGATTTTATAGAATATTTAAATTATTTAATGAAATAATGAAAATGAATTTTGTAGATTTTTAACAAATGAACTTTTGCTTTACTTTCATCGTTAAAGGTAATGAATCAGGATGTTAAAAAAGAGAATCCTCTGCAGTTTAGATTCCGAGCCAAATTTTATCCTGAGGATGTTGCCGAAGAACTTATTCAGGATATAACCCTGCGCTTGTTCTATTTGCAAGTTAAGAATGCCATATTAACGGATGAAATTTATTGTCCGCCGGAAACTTCGGTACTTTTGGCTTCGTATGCGGTGCAAGCACGTCATGGTGATTATAATAAATCGGTACATACGGCCGGTTTTCTAGCCAACGATCGACTATTGCCCCAGCGTGTTATCGATCAGCACAAGATGTCTAAAGATGAATGGGAGCAATCAATAATGACTTGGTGGCAAGAGCATCGTGGCATTTTACGTGAAGATGCCATGATGGAGTACTTGAAAATAGCGCAAGATTTGGAAATGTACGGTGTCAACTATTTTGAAATACGCAACAAGAAAAATACGGACTTATGGTTAGGCGTTGATGCGCTCGGTTTAAATATTTACGAACAAGATGATAGGCTGACGCCCAAAATTGGATTTCCATGGTCGGAAATACGTAATATATCATTTTCAGATCGGAAATTTATCATTAAACCCATCGATAAGAAAGCACCGGATTTTGTATTCTTTGCGCCTCGAGTGAGAATCAATAAGCGTATTTTAGCCTTATGCATGGGTAATCATGAATTATATATGCGTCGTCGTAAGCCAGACACCATTGACGTTCAACAAATGAAAGCTCAGGCACGCGAGGAGAAAAATGCCAAACAACAAGAGCGGTAAGTAAGATTAAATAAAGGAAAATAAATTTTTAGAAAATTTCATCATTTAATTTTATTTCTTGCTTACATTTAAAATTAGCGAGAAGCTGCAGTTGGCTTTGGCGGCTCGTGAACGTGCCGAGAAGAAACAACAGGAATATGAAGATCGTCTTAAGCAAATGCAAGAGGAGATGGAGCGCTCGCAAAGGGATTTAATGGAAGCACAAGAGATCATACGTCGTCTCGAAGAGCAACTGAAACAGGTGCAGGCTTCTAAGGATGAATTGGAATTGCGTCAAAAGGAATTACAAACAATGCTGCAACGTCTCGAAGAAGCTAAGAACATGGAAGCGGCTGAGAAAGCAAAACTTGAAGAAGAAATCATGGCCAAGCAAATGGAAGTGCAGCGTATACAAGAAGAAGTCAATGCCAAGGATGAGGAAACTAAACGTTTGCAGGACGAAGTCGAAGAAGCCAGGCGCAAACAGGTGATTAAAATAATTTGTCAATAGGGGCGCAAGTAAGTCATAAAAAAATTTACAATACAGTAATGTTACCAATAGACAAAATATTTTTGTGGCAAAGTCCAAAGTGTGTGCAAAAGTTCAAAGAGAATCAAAGCCAAACACGGGTAGCACTGCTTTTCGTGCTTAATTTGCCTCGTGACAAGTAACGAATAACAAATGCAAATGCAAACGGAAACCAGCCAAGCTATTACATCGATAATAATGCCGATTATATACGTCGTTGTTTAGCTCCAACGAGTTGCTCCAACAAAACGGAGCCATCACTAAAAAGCCTTACTACTAACAATTTAATTGGACAGCAAAACAAAACAGGCTGCAATGTACGCAAAGGCGTTTTAATTCGCTTTTTCATTTTAACATAGCGTTACTGAGGCCTTTCCTGTGACGCGTGTCCAGACAACTATAGCAATTATAAACTTCAATGGACTATCCTTTCGTCTGCATTCAAGATTGCAGATGTTGCATTGGTTCCGATCGAAGGTTTATTATCTGTTATCAGACAAAGCTTCGAGATTCTTGCAAGATCCCTTTGATCATGGAATTTGTATTGTGTTAGAAAGATGGGGAATACTTTGAGTAAAGAAATTGTTACCATTTTTGCACAATAAAGCGACAAGTTACATTAAAAAATCTGTTAAAACTTACATGTAGCCCTAGATCTTAGCCTAGAAATTTGAATTTTCCAAAATATATTTGAATTTGAAATTTTAGAAAAGTTCCGCATTTTATTTTTATTTGAAAAAGTCTTTGATGCTATTTTTGCTTTCCTTATTTTTTTTTTGCTCCTTTTCTAAAATACATTATCCTTGTTAGGCCGAGGCTGCTGCAGCTTTATTGGCTGCTTCCACAACACCTCAGCATCATCATGTAGCTGAAGATGAGAACGAGAATGAAGAAGAGCTCACGAATGGCGATGCTAGTGGCGATGTGTCACGTGACTTAGATACGGATGAGCATATCAAAGATCCGATCGAGGATAGACGTACATTGGCCGAGCGTAATGAACGTTTACACGATCAATTAAATGTAAGTACTATTGCCAATCAATTTTGTCAAGATATTTGCATCCGTACGCTTGTTTGTTATTTGGTTTTTAGGCTTTGAAGAAAGATTTGGCACAATCTCGCGACGAGAGCAAGGAAACACAAAATGATAAAATACATCGTGAGAATGTACGTCAAGGTCGCGACAAATACAAAACATTACGCGAGATACGCAAAGGCAACACGAAGCGTCGCGTAGATCAATTTGAGAACATGTAAAAATGTATATGTAGTGTGGAGCAAGTGTGTATGTGTAACAGTGTTTTTGAAAACAAATACAACAAGAAGTAACAAAAAAACAGCATTTGAATAAAAAGAAAAGGAGAAATGTTTAACAAAATTAAATTAACGAAAAAATATATATAATAAAAATAATAATTTTTTTTTTTTTTTTTTTTTTTTTTTATTATGACAAGATTCACGAAAAATAAATAAATAAATAAAAAAAAATAAATAAAAAACAAAAAGAACCCAAAAGCATGAAATTTAACAAAAAAGAAAAAAAATAAATGAAGCATTTCAAGTCTAAACTATTGTCGCAAATCAAATAAACGCTTAATTTGAAAAAAAAAAAAACCAGATTCCCTTTTATCATTTTATTATATAAAATCTTGATAAATTTATTTTAAAAGCAAAAAAAAAAAAAAAAAAAAAATTTTTTTCCCTGCCCTTTAAGAACAACACTTACGTCGGCACATACCTTTTAATTTAGTTTATTATGTTCGGTTTGCTTCTCTGTCCTCTCTCCTCTGTCATAAAGAAGGGATATATATATAGCGTAATGCAAGTTTTTATCCTTTATTTTTTCAACTTTTTTTTTTTTTTTTGTTTGGACATTGGAAGCCGTAATCAAATCCGTCTTTTAATAACCGCGCATGCATGTGTAACAATCACTATATTTTATAACGATATCTGTTTGCATTGCAAGCTGAACAGAAAGTTCGACTATTGAAAACTATGAGAAACTTTAACATATAAGAAACATACTAAAAAAGAAAAGAAAAAAAAAATAAAAATAAAAATATGATTATATGTTAGTGTTTTTAGAAATGCTTAAATTTTGTATAAAACATTTTATATTCTACTTGAAGAATTTTTTTTTTTTCATTTAAAATTCCATAGTGTTTGTTTGCCTCAATGCAGCTGCATACAGTTCAGTTTACATCCATATAGAATCAGTAAATAAATAATACTAATTTATATTCCTTTGCTGCATTTTCTTTTTTTATTTTTTTGCCTTCTTTGTTTTTCTCTTACTTTTAACATTGATTTGAGTCAATTGTTTCTGCAAAAGTGTGGCATTCAAATCTGATTAATTTGTTAGAGCGTTTAATTGTTAGATCTAAATTTAAGTATATACGTATAAAAAGCAAATGTTTTTATTTGATTTTATTTTTTATTTTTTCTTTCATCCTAAATACATAAACAACACTTTTCGAAAACACATAAACAAAAGAACAAAAACAAAAAAAAAAAAGTCGTTTTCAGTTACTGTACGTGTAGTTTTGCTAAGAAGTACATTTTTTTTCTGCCTTCAACAATAGACATAATTTTTACAATTTATCTATAAAGATAAGCAATCAAAGAAATAAAACCGAGGAAATGATCATGAATTTGCAACGATTTTTTAAAATTGAAATAATTTTATATTTAGAAAAATGAAAAAAAATTATTTAAGAGAAAATATCAAAAATAAATATACTTGTATATATATATATATATATATATATATATATATATATATATTTTGTAAAGCTACAACAACAATTGCTTGTTTCTATACAACGGCAGATGTGCAGGGTTTCTATAGTGACAAAAAGCTGAATCGCTGCGACGAATTTTCAGTGGCTTTCAGTCAGTCGCAGCAACCGGGAAATAAAATCAATCAACTTACAAACTGGAATAAACGAAAAAGAGATATGGAAATATTATATTAATTATAACTGACGTTTTTTAATCGCTTGCCAGGTTCCAAGATCCGGTAGAAACAGACCCTTACGACGGACACTTACGGTGGATCGTTTAGATAAGCAGTGTTTACCTCTGCCAAAAATTAGAAGAAGGCTTATATTAGTATACCTATGTGACTTGATATTAACATATGGAGACTGCAAAATGGGTGTGTCTGAACTTGACCTTTTCACCATTTAGATCAATATTCATTCGCTCAATCTGTGGACATCACTTAAAGAAATATATAATATCTGTTAACTTTTTATAACCTCAAATGTTGCACTCTTACCCCGTTTCAATAACAGATGGCCACCAGCTAAGTCGACTCAAAACATTACGTTGATTAGGAATTAATGAAGTTTTCCAGGCCTCTGGCCTGGGTATTTATTCCAATTTTTCAAGTGAGAAAATCGTGATGGCATTATCCTTCAATAGCGTGATGACAAAAGTATTCGAAAAAGAAGTGTTTAACAAGATCACTTTACCTTATGAAAATGATGGTCTACGCAATGCTTTCCGAAAACTTTGATATTACTGTCTCTGTGCCTTCATAATTCCACTCTATTTCGAATAAACACCTTACACATATCAGTAAACGTAGCAGTTTTGTCATATATAGGTAAATATCATCGCTTTGATAACGGATTATTGTTAGAATCAATCCATAAACCAGTCTTTACTTTTTATTTTATAAAACTTATTCGTTTTGCCCCAATAATAATAATAAAGAACATGAAATAAATCAAAATACTTGTAACTGCTTCTTTATTCTAAAGTGTAGCTAACGAAAATTTATATGCAAGCAAATGGTGACAAGTAAGAAAATTATATTCGTTTGTGAACGAATCCTTTATACCCACCCAACAATCATCGCTTTACTAAAAACAGATTAAAAGCGTAACATGAAATCCTAAAGTATTGGTAGGGCGTGGCTGACGCTCTATTTGTTAGAGGAGAAACGGAAATTTATATCGTGTATCTGCTGTGGGCTTATAGCAACGAGCAAAAACCACGAAAGGCCAAGGTATTAAGAGGTTTTTCTTGCATAGGTGTGCTAATAGTGTTAAAAGTGTCTCCTTTGGTCGGTTTAAGCCATTTTCAAATTCCTTTGCAAATTTGCACCCGATATCCGCATTTGTACGCACCGGAATATGTTTACCACAAATATAATACAATTGGACACAGACGGACAGGTAGGCAGTCGCAAAGGCTTACTTGTATTCCGAAGTTGATACTGGTAACGAATCTACTTACTTTATGGGGTATTTGAAGCTTACTCCTGAGAAACGCAAAGGTTTTGACAGAAGGTGTGAGATTTTCAATAATAAACATCTTACACCTTTTTCGCTTATTGGCTTTTACATTTAAATTCAGCGGTTGGATGATATTCAGATCGATCGTTGAGAAGATATTTATTTCATTGAATATACTCACTGGCCATTAGCTGACACAGATATTGGAGAGTATTTGTTGACCGCAATTCCTATAACTCAGTGTACTTTATTAATTTTTTGTTGTTGTTTTGTTTTAGTTGATTCATAGACATGAATATAGTAAACATTGTTTGTTTGCTTTTTTTGTGACTAAGAATTTTATTCTTTATGTATCAATATAATTAGAAAAGAACCTGCATCTGATGTCATCACAATTTAAAGGATATACATAACGGTAAATCATAAAATACATTACAATACATCTAAATAAATATACGGTGTAATCACTTTCTTTTCTCTCTCTTTCATTTAAAGCAATATTTAATAATGTTACAATATCTAGAATATGTCGATCTTTTTTTTGTTTTGCTATTTGTAAATAAATGAAAATATTTCTTATAAAAAAAATTCGCATAAATATCAAGGAAAAACAATTTGTACCATCCACGCCAATTGCCTTAACAGTTTCGATTGAATATTATGCTATTCTTCCAAGGCAACTTGTGACTCTTTTAAAAGACGCTCTCGACTATCTTCTGGATTAATCAAGACTTTGATCAGATGCTCAACCGTGGGACGTTCTGCTGTACAATGAACTTTTAAATTTTTACTTTCTAAGGCACGTCTTGTACTGGGCCCAATCGCTACTAAACGATAATTATCTAGTAATATATTATTAGCTTTAAAATACTCGTAGGTGCAGTTGACGCCGGACGGTGAAAAGAAAGCCATGTATTCAATATTTTCCGAGCTCAATGCACGGGCCATATGTTCTGCCAAATCAGCACTACACTTGGTCTCGTACACTTCGCATGCGTCTACACGAAAGCCGGCTTCGTGTAATTTTAAATTTAATGTATCTTGAGCCAAATTGCTACATGGCAAAAGAAAGGGTAGATCTTTACCACCATCAAATGTTTCAATAATAAATTCAGCCAAACTACGGGCCGTGCCTGTTTGTTTGCCATGTGTAAACAACTGTTGCAAATCACTCATCGCCAAGTTGTGTGTGACCTCACCAACAGCGTAATTATGCAACATCTTCCAAGCACCAGGCAATTCATTATTTTTTAAGGCCTTGCATACAGCTTCCACACAACGTGGACTTGTAAAGATGAGACCAGAATAATCATCAGGATGCTGCAATTTTGCGTTTAATTTATCCAAATTTTTAAAACCAAAACTTAAGGTCGGCACAAAAATCGGATTAAAATAGTGTCGATGCAATTCTTCGGCATACACATCGGTGCTCTCCGATTCCGATTTAAATATAATTACTGTACGTTGGCGACTCATTCTCTAATGTTAATGTTTGTGGCTTTGTCGATAATGTCGTTACTACCATGCATGTTCGTGTACAAATATTTTGATTCCCCTTTTGTAGTGCTTGCTGTGTTTGTTATGTTTTGATTTTTATTAAAGCAAAATAAAAAGCAATTTCCATAGGTGGGCAGAAAATATAAATGGCGTTGCCAGAGAAAAAAATTTTTACATTAGCCAAACAAAATAGATAACAGTGTTTAGCGAAAATGATAAATCAAAACAAACCTTCAAATCCAAATACTTGGTACATACAATATATAAGCGAACAGCGCACGAACTTTCCGTACATTTTGTAAAGTAAATAATTCGTTTCGATAGTTTATATATGTCTCATGTGACTGTTTGATATCTCTGCTTATTCTAATGTTAAATTAAATACAACTTTCCTTTCGCAAAGAAAAGTGCAAAGGCATATCGTGATTTTAATTTCAACTAATGCGATATTCAATCAAGTCGAGCTATCTGTTTTTTAAAGATCAAAACTTCGGTTGTGTCAATTCCGAATCTAAGATAGAAAGATTTTTAATTCCTTCAAAAATATTTTTTCTAAGTACGCGAGTCAATGTATTTAACTCATTAATTACGTTGTAGTTCGCAAGGAGTTTTTAACAAAGACGTATTCTTTAGAAGAATTGAACGAGGAGTACGGCCCATGGTTGATTATTTTATTTAACTAGGTTAGTGGTCTAACGTCGGATGCATACACATACACAAATGGCAGCATAGTGTAATTCGTTAAACGATTAATGACAGCCAGCTCATAAATTGAAGCCTTTTGAGGAACGCTGCTTGAAGCTTTGCAGATTACGAACGTCTTTACATAAAGCGCTCAAGTGTGTGACATTTAGTATTCCGAGTGATTAGTTTGGGGTCTTCGAAATAGGCACGAATATTACCAGTTAAACTACCCGCCCTTCATACATTTACATACACAAACATTTACTCATGACCATTTATTTATTATGTTCCAAACATCCGACACTTTCTATTCCGTAGGCCATTCGCCGTTAGCGTCTGATTATCTTCAAACAACTTCCACACTCGGACAATGTATTCTTCACTCGTTGACTTCCGATAACCTGTAATTAACTAATTGTTTACAATTTTGGGGATGTGGTAAAACAAATAAGTGTTTGGGACGAATATGCGATGATTTATTCCAGGTTTTAGATCAACATCTTCTATGTGCTGACAATTACAATTTCTTTCCTATTGTGGGTGGGTGTGATCACACCGACTTTTTCGTTAAAATCTTATTTGATTGTTATACAAGTTTTTAGGCAGTTGCGTAATCTGTAATCCGCTGTAAATGGCAAATTACAATTTTTTAATTATTGTGGACACATTGGTTGCATTTCAAAAGTCGATCTTTAGCCATTACTGAAAAATACCTGTCAAGCTTCAGGGTTTACCTCACGTGTTGCGAACTACAACCTGTTTAACAACAGACGATAGGTGCATAGTCGGGCGAAAGGACATGGATTTTAATCTGGAATATCAAGCTAATTAAGCACTTACAAATGCGTAGTTCTAGGGGCTGGACAAGAAAGGATGAACATGATTTATTCCGTATTTTTTGCCACTGGCGATCGGGAAATTTTCATTTGAGGGGGGAATGCTAGTTTCCCTTTTTAAATATGGTTAAATTTTCTAGCAAGACCGTACAAATTTAATTAAAGGTTTCAGTTCAAATACCTACTTTTGTTAGGAGCTCTATTACTCATAAATACACAGTTCCATTATAAAAGGCTCTTTGGCGGTTCAATATAAGTGAATAAATTAAAAAAAAAAACAACGTTCGAATTTGAATAACAAAAGACATAAAGGAACTGGAATATCCCAAGAACGCGGGCATGAAATTGAAATGTTTACAAGGATATTTCAAGGTTGTTCAAAGAATTGAGATAATACGAAAGATCTTACGCAATTACTTAAAATGATAGTTTGTCACTTACTATTTAAGAGAGATCATAACTTATAATGTCATAAATAAACCATTCATTCGTTATCATCACTTTCTCCTTTTCATAGAAGTGTTCCATTGATCATAATAATTTCTTTAGAAGGAATATAATATCAATGCAGAACATTACAGGTAGACATACTGGCCAATCAGTCAGGTTGATTGTCTGCAAAAAGCTATCTATATTGTGATAGCCAGAGCACCATCAAATTATCAACTGGCATGATAATAAACTTCAAGCTGATTATTATTATTGAACGTTCTCATTTAGATACTGAGACATTGCAATATATCTCGTAATTGTAAAACTAACGAGCTTAATGACGTTCGCACTCTCCTTTCTCGATTCCTAGGTACTCGACCTGCAACACGCAATCTACTTATCAAAGAAATCATATGTAAGCGTAATATCATCTGAATGTAACTATTCGCATAACGTAAACCAAGTAAAACTGCAAGATTATCTCTCCGGGACGGGATCTGTCGATAGCCTGATTTCGACTATCATGCAGCGAGCTTAGGCCTTCCCGACAGCGACCTCCGCCAAGGGTTTCATAGTTCATACGTTTTTGGCAAGAAAACGACATCCACCCCTAATAGCCAAGTACTAGAAGCCACAAATTTGGTCTTTATCCTCCCTCCAGCAAGGTAGAGAAGTTGATTTAACGTAAGAAGGGTCTCAGAAAGGACCTAATTAAGATCTGTTTACTAAGTTTAGCTCAATAGTACTAGTAGAATTTAATTTAGTACTCGAAGTAATTGAACGCTAGAAAACCTTTTTTTAATAGAGTTTCTGATACGGTTTCCCATTTTGTATAAATTATTAGACCGTTATTAGTGAATTCTCTTGACATGAACTTGATGCACTGAAAATTTTAAGATCTCTTTTTTTCATTATCTATTAAAACATTTGAGCTTTTATGTTTTATTATACAAATAGGACCTTGAACATTACATATGTTTCATTTCTTTTAATTTATTTCATTATAAGATGATTTGCAAAATAATTGCAGAGAAATAAATTCTAAGATTAAAGTCTTAAAGCACGATGTTCAAAAATTAAGTAATAACACCATATGTTATTGTTTAAAAGCAGAGATGTTAAACTATCCAATGCAGTCCAAAAAAAACGCTGTCACAAATGTATTAAAAACGACTCTTAGCCGCTATAAGTTTGTGAAAAAAGTATTGTTCCGTTGTTTTTTACGAACGGAAAAAACATAGGTTCAAATAAAAGTAGGTTTATTATTATTTAAAAAAAAAATGAAAAATATTTTTAACTTATTGGTTTTTATATTTTGCTAGTTATTAGCCTTTCATCTAGCATCTAAGGTATCGGCTCTTATTGAAAAATCTGATACACTTGAGATTTGAACGCACGACTAATGAGTTGTTAGTCGAAATCATTTGCTTACTCGGCTAAGAGAATACTTGAAACCTTTTGGCATTTAATTTCAACCGCGAATTTTACTAAAGTAGACCTGGTAAAACAAAACAATTTTAATAAGAAATATAAGAAACTTAACTCTTTTAGAAATGCAAGAATCAGGTATAAACACCTCCGTGTTTCATCCTAAAGAGTGAATCTATTCGAAAATGTACGATGGAGCATAACCGTCCTTTTGCATGCCGTAAGTGTAGTATTTTTAGCTTCAACTGTACACATACAGATATAGAAACATCCAAGCAGGACGACATATAATTTGTTAGTTGTATTCTCATAGTTAGAATGTCATCTTTGATTTTTCCCCTATTTTTTGAGTTCATTCTAATTATTTAAAATTTTGCATTTTGTAGGGTGGAAAACTGTGCAAAATATCGTGACATGTTAGTCTTTCTTTCTTTTGTTAAAGAGCATATTTCATTGCATGCAATCTACTGTGATAGAATATTAAAATCCTATATCCTGCATCAGTTGTAGTAGTACGATCGTATATTAATGGAATATATGCCCCATCCACGACTTGAAATAGACCCACGTTTTATTATACCGACCGATTGAGAGTCGCTTTTTGAATCGATTTTTTGCAAACGTACGCAACAACCAGAAGAAGTTTAGAAACGCACCTTTTATTTCACGAATCGATTTAGAGTGACTTTTTTGAATCAATCTAAGCTTGTCTGTCCGTCCGTTCGTTTGTCAGTCTTGTTTTCTTGTCCTCAATCGATGATGTTTACAATGTTGGATTTGTTTTTCTAAACTTCACCCTTTTAACAATGTTGGTAGATTCATCCCATGCTTGTACATTACGTCAATATTGAGTAATTTACCAAATCATATCTATATTAACATGCAGGTAGTCGCAAGAACGAAAGCCTATACTATACTATACGCAGAGAGAGTAAAAGAATTCGCAGAGAATTTCAATAGCATTTCAAGTGCAAGTTGGAGACGAAATGTTAAACCATAAAATCGAATCTTATTTTGTTCTTTTGATAACACTTGTAAGGTAAACGTACGTTGTTCATGAAAAACAGGATGTGAAGAATTATAAGCAACATTTTTATATAATCAAAAAATAAAACTATATTTAGGTGAACCTTTAATTAAAAAAATTTATTTGCATATATTTATTTAAACTATTTCATCAACTCATTAACTTTGAGGGGCAGTGACAAATACTTTAATATATGAGTTTTGGTGTACTTTTTCTTTACTAATAAAATTCATCAATTAACTTTACATAATCAGCAAAATGAAACAGTTGATTTATAAAAACAATACAAAACGAAAAACAGCAGATAATAGACTTAATTAAGAATAATTATACTAAACCAACATATTTCCAACAGCTACTTGTTCACTTTCTTGTCCTGCTTTCGAAAATATCTAAACTACATGTTCCCGATTGCTAAAATACTAGTTATAAACAGAAATATATCAACTTAAACGAAATAAATTGGAAAAAGGCGGGGAAAGTGTTGCCTATTTTCACGTTTCTTTTCACTTTTTAAGCAAATCACCCGTTGTAATGATTGGCAATTGTTCATTGATTTTATTTAAATTAAAAGAGTCTTCTGTGTTACGAGTTATGTTGGTTTTTCGGTTCAAAGATGGCTGTGGAGTTTTCCATATGTCGTTATTGTTAGAGCTGCACGAATTCAAACTAAGGGAGGAGGATTTTAGTACCGAAGGTCTTTGCGAGTAGTAGCTGCCATTGGATTTAGGTGACTCAATAGGCTGAAAACCATTTGCATCTTCTGAGGTTAAGGTGCGTTGATGAATATCGTTAATATCGGGGCAACAAGAATTCTCCCTTGATATGTTAAAGCGCCCGTTCTGTGACTCAAAACCTGAAGAATGTGATGAAGCTCGGGACATGTTCTCATCAATAGCGGTATTAATTAAATTTTTTGTCATTGGTTGTTGATTGAAATAGCCACCCGATAGCCAGGATACATCACATGAAGGACTTGACATTAAGCTATTGACACTAAAACGAGTAGGTGACAATAACTTGCTTCTCGTTGCATGGGCTTCGCTGTAAATTGAATTGCTTGACAATGAAAAGGGTGTAAGCATTCCGGGCATCGGTTGAGGGGTAAAAGGATTATTATCTCTTAAGTATATAGAGTTGTTCGAAGCTGTAAGGAAGCTTTTGTTAGTTGTATTGCAGTTAGAAAAATGTGTTTGTGGCTCTATGAAAGAAGAATTGAAAACACTATTGTTTGTAATGGATCCGTTTAATGTAAAGTTGCCATTTTCTGGCCTATAGCCGTTACGGAAATCATGGATAGAACCGTAACAACATTGCGGTCCGCTTGAAAAGTACGATTGTTTAGGGAATGTCGGTCGCTCAGCAAAACTACGAAAGCTTGAATTTGTTGTTGCGGTTCCATGTGGCATTTGATGTAATGAAAATGCTGAGGAGGTTACGGGGGATAATTTCTCCATAGACTTTAGAGGGGAAGGAGTTTTAAACGAACGGAATGAGTGAATACTTTTTATGGAGGCGCAATTTCCATTAAGTTGATTTAGAGAGTTAATGGCATCATCATCGTTTAAAAGATCTTCAGAGTAAAGTTTATGAAAACTATTTGCAGTAGTGTCAGGCGATTCTGGAGATGTGTCCGTGTTGGTGGTATATATCAAAATTAAGGTCAACAGCGAAGAAAGAAACTGTAGGAACAATTGTTTATAATCATAAAAATGTAATCATAATAAAGTATTTTACTCACTAATAATGCATTAGACGGAAGGTAGGCTTGTTCTACTAATCCAGCAGCCAATACGCTCCAAAGAGCGAGCAGGAATGTATATCGCGTTAACCGAAAACCATCCATCATGTTATGTATGAAAGCAAGCATTATTACACCAAACGGGCACATGCTCATATACATTGAAGTCATGCTGAAGTGTGTTACTCTCAAGCCCATTGAATACATAATCATCATAAAGACAGTGCGACAAAATAAAGTTACCTTCAAAGCCATGTGATGATTACACAACAATTGAAAATATGTCAAAAAAATCCGCTTTAGTGTCAGGATATGAGAAATGGCCATGAAGATGTAATGCCCCGCTGAGTTGCCAATTAAGTAAGTAATATGTTCTTTACTTATTGAAGGTAGAGAAACCGTTAGACACAGAGTGTTCACTACTGTAAATGTGGCGATCAAAATATGACAGCGTTGTTTCCATAATTGCTGTTTCATGTAATGTATTTGGCTAGAATGCGGTTGCCGCAAAGTCTCGGCTCCTTTAATAATAAAATCAAGAAATTTCGAACCCAAAACCATTTTTTTTTTCTCGTGTAAAACCTTTTTGAGATGACGATCACATGTTGCACATAACCGATATTGCTCTTCTAAATGAGATCTGCGAAGAAAAATTTGCAATACAGATTTTTTCTAGCTACCATGATTATATAAGAAAGTTATAAACTTCAAAACATTTCTGTTTTAATTTTCGGCGTGGACGGGAAAAAAATGATGAATGGGGGAAAGACATTTTTTTACTCACTTATACACTTTTAATTCCTGGTCGAAGTATTTCTCATACTTTGGTTGAAATTGAGACAATTTTTCCACTTTCAAACGTTGCGCTTCATTACAATTATCACAGAAACCGTTATGGATATTAACCGAGAGGATGTGTGACGAATATTGATTTGCCGTGAAACGTTCTGTACTTTGACTACAATTTAGCTGCTCATAGATTTCTTTATTATAATCGCCATCTTTATTAAAGCCATTATATTGTTCACAGGACGGACATGTCCAACTATTCGATTCCAAATACGGAACTTTGGTATTTTGATTGCAAAACCAACAATTCACGGTAATATGAAAACAGGATCTAAAAATAGATGTAAAGGTCGTGTTTAAGGCGGGAATATATTTTTACACATTTATTCTCACGCTCACCGAATTTTTATGTACACTTTATAACACACTAAAAAACAAACAAACCCAATAGCCACCACGGGGATAATGCTTAGAATTAACGACAACAAGGCGTTATTATTCATTACAATTTTGAATACTCTGCACTTAAAAATTTAAAGTTTAATTAATAATATTTTTAATTACAAAGAATGCATGGGCAGAACAATAATCAGAAGCCGGGAGACCCACGCTGCTTGTTAAAGCACACATACAAAAGGCACAAACCAAATTGCAAAGAGAACGGAACAAAATTGCATTTCTTAAAAGGTGGCATTACTATTTGATTGCCGTGAAAATAGCAAAATAAAACAAAACAAAGGAAATATCAAATCAAAAGTAATAACTTCCTGCACTTGTCGACACAAGTACATTTTATCTCTTATTGTAAAGTTGTTCAAATCTAGTTTAAGTTGTCAAAGGTCTTTGACCTGGTAAAGCATGAATGGATCAAGATTTTTAGGTTGTAATAAATTTCTTAAATTGGTATATCCCAGCAAAATCAATCAGTTTTCCTAGGCCTTTCGCTGAAATTAACTCCGGCCCAGATTGAATTTTCAATTATTTCAAGTATGCTCTAAAAAATATGAACTAATAAATCGAAACAATGTTTGCAAAGCTTGCAAGCCTAAACAGTGGTCTTAATATCTTAAAGGCTATCGTTTCTGACTTCAAATTGGTTGAGTCAGTTTTCTTACAATTATTATTGTAAAAACGGTTTTACTTATTTACTTTTTCTTGTATTAGTTAATTGCTTCCCCATCCTGTTGGAAAATTTATTTTTGTTTCGTGCAGAGGATAATTTTTAGCTGCTAAAAAATGATTATACAAGTTACAATTCCAAAAAATGGTAGTAATATATATGTACAACTAAAATATAACAGGGAGCTAGGGCCTACCATTAAATATTCAGCACAACTTTGCTTATTATATTAGGGGGTTGGAAAAATTTTAGCCAGGGACTTCTACACGTAAAACCGATTAAATTCGATGATTTTGATCTTTCCCTACATAAAATAACAATTTTTTAATATTATTTTTTAATATCATTGTTTATTTGAAGAAATGTGCAGCCGAAGTCCACCAAACGCGTTCAGAGGTTTGTGTTGATGCTGCTCCATCTTATCGCCATTGTCGTTTTTGGTCGGACTTGATCAAGTCTTTGCAGGTGTTGTATATAACCGCACAAAGTTACTATGTCCTACCACGAATGGTGTAGTTAAATAACATTTTTCGATACGGTCGTTTTTTTTCGTTGAAGTTAGATTGAAGAGCAACACCGGGTGAAACGGGTGAATAGTTGGTACTCTCTCTGCTCTTCCAATAAATTCAGTCCATTATTTGGACTCAACACTCGGAGAATTTAATATATAAGGTTTGCAGTAAATACGCTTTTTTTTTAGTTTAGTGGAGATTAAATGGACTAAGACAATAAGGAATTTAGATAATTTTTGTTTCGAATAAGTCTGATAAGTTCAATACAAACACTTGACGTCTTTTTTAAGTTGTAGTCGGCATAGTCTTCGACTTCGCCTCATTGCACTGTTGCACTTTTAAACCTTCAGATTAAAATGTTATCTCCTATATACTGTAAATTCTAAATGTACATACACATGATTTTTCCAACCTAGCCATTGAAAAATTAACTCGTATATGTTAACTGATAATCTCATGGAAACCAGCATTAGTTTGATAATAAATGGGAATGAATTAAGAAAAATGAAACTAAGATAGAATAGAAAATGTAATGAAGCGTATTACATAAAAAAAATGCTAAAGCAAGAGTATTTCTGCTAGGTTAATTTCATGCAAACATTTAAATTAAGTAAACCTGCTCGAAAAACAAATTGTTTAGATCTGGCCACACTGCAGGATAGCTGGGAAAGAATAATTTATTGATAATAATAAAGAAGAAAGTGTGATGCACGTGTTCTTAATGTATAATATTTTTTAAATTATAATAATAAATTTTTTAAGAGAATGCAGCACGACGATGTAAGTAATAACATTATATTTCAACAATAGGGAGTAATTATAATTGAAAATGAAAATATAGGTTGTTTGGAGCATAATCAATAAGTCATTCTGTTCGCATAAAGTCAAGTAAGTTCGAATTGTTTTCATTATTTGGTTTACTCGTTTTATTATATATAAATTTTCTTTTTAAAGAACTGATACACGAACTTTTTGCCGGAATGAATACAATATAACAGGTCTTTGTACACGTCGCACTTGTCCATTAGCCAATTCACAATATGCCACTGTGCGCGAAGAGAAAGGCATTATATATTTGTATATGAAAACTGCTGAACGTGCTCATATGCCCAGCAAATTATGGGAACGTGTAAAATTATCTCGAAATTTCGAGAAAGCTATTCAGCAAATCAACGAGAATCTGGTGTTTTGGCCCAAGTATATGATAGCGAAAAACAAGCAAAGATTTTTGAAAATTACACAGTACCTTATACGTATGCGTAAATTGAAACTACGTAGACAAAAGCTAATAGTACCACTTTCACGCAAAATTGAAAGAAGAGAAGCGAGGCGAGAACAAAAGGCACTGATAGCGGCGAAAATCGATAATCATATTGAGAAGGAGCTATTAGAGCGCTTAAAACGTGGAACATATCAGGATATTTATAATTTCTCTCAAACAGCGTTCAATAAAGCTTTAGCAGCCGAGGAAATTGAAGATGATGAAGAAATGGAAGCCGATGTAGAAGAAGAAGAAGAACGGGAATTGGAGCACGAAATGAATAACGATGATTTGATCCGGAACCATGTGAGTGAAGAGTTTGTGGAAGCTAGCACTGATGAGGAAATCGATGAACATGAAGATGAAGTAAGTGACAATGAAGATGCTGCAAGTGATTCCGGGCAAAAAGAAGAAATTGAAGTTAACAGCGATTTTGAACTGTCACAAGACGAATGCACTTCAGACATTGAGGTAAGTCTAATGTCCTTAATATTAGATAAAGTGAACACTGTGACATGGCGCCTAATAGAAGTAAAATCCTTAAAATTCATAAGGAAATGTTTTACACACACCCATACAATCTTTTTATCAATGATTTAGATGAAGTTTCAGAAACGTTTGTTACTAGAAAAATAAATTTATATATATATATATATATATATATATTTATATATACGTATGTACATTAGAGAGCTTTCGCAGTAACTTATAAAACTTCAATAATTATTTAAATAAACATTTCAAAGTTTCAAAACATTAACAGCTAAATAATTAACATTATTGTGTTGATGACGAAATATATTTTTATAATCATCTTCTATAGAGCTATAGGGGCATATTAATTCGGTCATTTCGTTGATAATCTTCAGAAATTCACAATAGACCCATATATATTTGATCAACACCAGATTGCAAGTTAAACTTAAATACGTACGGACGTCAGCAATTAGGAATGGGTTCTTAGCAAATGTGAATTGAAAACGAGTCAGGACCTTAAGAAATGTACTCGTCCCTCTATCTATTAAAAAAAAAAAAGAATACACAATTGATTTATTTGTTTAAGGTGGATGTCAAAAATTCGTTTTTCAAGGCGAACATGGATTTCTTATTAGGATTTAACAGTGGCACCAATTAAGGAAATATACAAAATTTTCAAAACTAGTTAACATTCAAAATCTAATCTCTCTGATAGAGAGCATATAACGTTTAATAATGATTACAGTGGAAAGGTTTTGTAATTAGTGGTAGAAGTTCCCAACATTTTTTTTATATAATCATACTATAAACGCCATTGTTTTACAAGCACTGACTGTAGACTAAAATTGATTGTATGCAATAGTAAAGATAGTTTTGAAATGGGCGATTTCAAACCCAAGCACTCAGAAAACGTTCATTTTTATATTCAACTTTTGATTGAGATCGAAATTAATTCAATTTTGCTCACAATAAGCCGATTTATTTATAATTTATTAAAAGCTTGCATTTGCGTTTTGCTGTGACCACAAATTAAAGAGATTAGGGAGGGAGATCTGCTGACTTGAATTTTTTCCCGCGTGTATACGCAATATTATATTTATCCTCTGTTTTAATAACACAGGACTATTTTGGAATTGAATGCCACTTGACTTGTCAAGAAATTTACAGAAATCCGATTGAAAGGTTAACTAGGTTTTAAAAGTCGTCCATAATAAATAATCATAGAAAGCAAAATGAGTCTGACATTATGAAAACATTTTATATTTTCGATACAATAGGCAATAGTAATAACTATACGGATCTTTGGTTGAGAATTACGGATTTACATTTTTTTCTTGCACTTGTATGCAGGCATTGTTATTGTTCTTATTATTGTTGTTTCGATGGCGGTTAATAATATATAATATTTATCTTGCGCTGGCTGTATATATTCTATAACAACAATAATAATTAACAATAACGACAACAACAAATAATAATAATAATAATAATAGTAATAATCATCATGAAAATACACCTTTCCACTTTTATACATGTGTGTAAATGATATAACACACGAGCAGCTAGCTAGCTATATAATGCTACTATCACTAGATATTATTGTTACTACTATGTAAGCAGTAGTGGTTGTTGCTTTTACTTTCCAAAACTCATAGCGTCAGCTATTGCTAATATGTATTAAATCGTTGCCTAAAAAGTACTGAAACTGGTGATCAAGCTACTATCTACCAAAAACCAAAATATATGAAAATGAAGCGAATAAATGAAATAGATACACGATTTTTAACTGTCTATAAAGGCTAAGTACTTTTTAGACAAACGATAAATGCCAAAGTTAGCTTAGAGATTTACATTATTATTAGTTTTAAGCAGATTGTTTGCTATTTATTTTTTTTCATCATCTTTCTTTTTCACCTGCATATTGTGTGCTCAATAGTCGTTATGAGCTAAACATTTCATAGATTTTTCTCTCAACGTATTATGTATTTTGTTGAATTTCAAAGAATTTCATTCAACAGTTGATGCGGTAAACAGTTTGCGATGTGCTTGCGCGCGCGTTTATCTCCGTTTAACCAAAGAAAGGAAACGTGAATGAAATGAAAGAGTCTGCAGACTCTTAAATTACAAGAAATAAGAAAAAAATAAATAAATAAATGAAAAAGATAAATGAAAAGCCTAGCTATTGCAAAATTTGTGCAAATTTTTTTAAATGTAAATTTAGTAAAAAGAAAGATGAGAGTTATTAGCTTTATTATTTAATTATCCTTATTTGAATCCACATTTAACTAATAATCGAAAAAATACATGTACATACATTCATATATATATATATATATATATATCTTTGCAATAGCCATCTATTAAGCTTAAAAAGCGGTCAAATATTTTTAATTAATGGAGAAAAAAAATTGATTTCAAAGTCACGGTCAACGCTGTATAAAGAAAAATTTAAACTTGTTTTTATATATAGCATTTAATGACACAGTGTTTATTTTAATAACAAAGTAATACAAAAGTTTGCCTTAATAAACAATTTTAAAATTATTATGCATTTAATTAATAAAATCAGGATAAACCGGCTAATGCTTTTGTAAGAGCTCCCTCCAAACTGTCAACTAAACCTTCGGCAAATAGCAAGAAAATTACGGCGACGCAACTCGGTAAATTTTCTAAACGTCCGCTTAGAAAAAGCAAAGTGGAAATTGAATATGAAATGGAAACTGAAACAAACCGGCAAAGGCTACATAAGTGAGGTATTCTTTACAATCATTTATTTACCCGTTTGTATACTATTCAGTTATCATAAAAGTTGTGTTGATGTAATAATTGCTACTTTTTTTTTTATAAAAATAAAATTCTATTTTTAATTACTTCAGCGAATTATTTAATAAATTAAATCGCACAGGTTTGTTTACCTTGACAATACTTACTTTGTAAAGCCAGCTCCCAGTTAAGTTTATCGCAATTCAATCGCATCTCTTGCAAAGTCGTATGATATAGAAATTTCATTTTTCATTATAATATTAACTTGCTTCTTTAACCTCGATAACTAAGAATGCTTCTTCTTACATAACTGAAGATATCATAAGCAAATATTTGACGGAGTTTTTTCTTTTCATTTGCAAGAAACACAAAGCTCGTCAATTATGATTTTACCCGAAAAAAAAGAAAAAAAAAAAACCAAAAGCCCTTTTAATGACATATCGCCTCTCAATATGGTAGACTCAGGAAATGTTGAGTCTTATGGCAAGAATTGCGTTCGCTAATTCCAAATGATACGGTCTGGATGAGCACGAATTAAATGAATGAGACAATTAAATGAACTTTTAAGAGCTTGTTATTCTTTAGATGGTCTAATTTTTGAGACTCCGCTGTTTAAACGAAAGTAAAATGCTGGCTTTTATAAGAGCGTTGAACTCGCTGCAACTTTTGGTGGATATGTGCTTTATGTAAAAAGGCTTCTAGCAAATTTCCAACATATATGTAGATGTGCATTTATTAGACTTAACATAAAAATATCTTCGCCTTGAACTGACTACTTTTTCATTTACCATATGGTTGTTTTTTTATTGCTTTTTGTACAACGTAATTTACTTAAAGCTTAGTATAGCAAAAGATGAAAACATTTACAGAATGCGGGCGTCCCTCGTTCAGCACGATACTTGTCCAGCACAGTTTCGACACAAGTTTTGGAAATATTATAACACGATATTGAAATAAGATGATTTCATAAATGTCAAATACATATAATTTCCACTGGATTTCGTTTCAGTTGCTTTTTTTTTTTATTTTATCGTTAATCGGAATGGTTTCAACCTACTTTGAGAAAAAAAGAAGCAAAATATTAAATTTTTCATTTTCATCATCATTTTTTGAATCTGTTCTTATAGTTTTTGTATTCCATCAATATGTTAACTTTCATTTTTTTTTTTTTCTTCTTCCTAATGAAAATTGACTTAACTTACTTAACTTGCGTTTTCGCTTATATATACAGATATATTTGGAAAGAAATTTCATGATACAATTTTGCACCTTAAGACTTGGTTTCGACGCAACACGGTACATATTGCATTGGTTTACATTATTTCACGTTAGCTTATAACATGTTCCCGATACGATACGGACAAGATTGCGATAGAATACGGTGCACATTTTATTCACTTATATTACATCTAAGTTTAAATCATCTTCTTGTGTGTAATGTTTGAGTTTGAATAAAATAATAAAAAAGGTTCGTATAATCTGGTGTCGGTACAGCAGCGTCAAATTTTCTATGAAAATTTCAGTTCGAAAAAGACTGCAATTCGCCGCTAAAGACCGTTTTAGCCCGTACAAAGACAGGAAGCGGTCGGACCATTGACAGGCGCTCACATTTAACAAAATATTTTCTTTTTAATGTAATGGTTTTGAAAAGGCGTGCATGAAGAACTCTTTTACCTATTACAGTATATAAATAAAAAGCTTGTATTCGGCTTGCGTCTATTACTACTAGCACAACTAGTTCACAATATATGGAAGAATAAAAATATAACCAGAAACAACGAAAAGCATACACGTTCCACCATTTTGTTCAAAATTGAGATTAGGAGAGTCTTAGGGACATTTTGTGTATCTGTAATCAATAACATTAGTATAAAAAGTATTAATTAGTAACCATTTGTCAACTTGCTCTTTCATGCTTGTTATTTGTATGTATATGGATTTTGTTGATCCCTTTATGAATTCGGATTTTCTCAAACGTTTGCAAGGCATCAGCACATGCATTTCTGTGTTTTTAAGTGAATATGCGCTATGGTATACATATAAGTGTTTATGTATGAAAAAAGACGAAACAACAGGTACGTATGCAGCAAATAAAATTTATTTTCGTTTCAAAAATGAAGAATTCTAAATACCATGTTTTCCAAGTGCTTCGGCATATTTCAATAAACATTTTCATATAAAGAAATACGAAGAAATTTTTTATTATTATACTTATCTTAATCCCATTCATTTATTTTATTTTTGTACTTACTAATTTTATTTGCTCGCACCTATATATTTGACATATTTTACCCAATTTTCCATATTGTAAATGACTACATAAATGAAAATTCGATACGACGTCTATTCACATTATATTGTTATTATTATATTGTTTATATTTCAGAATTAAATAATTAATTAAATAAATGAAATATTAAAAACTGGCTATTAATCCTACCTTATGCACTTTCTTCTCTGATTTCGGTACAATAAAATTTTTAACGGAAAGTTCAGCAAGCAAGTCGCGCCTATGTTCGCTGCAGCCTTCGTCCGTGGTAAATGATTAGTTAATCGTTCGTTTTTCTCCGTAATCTTATCAAAAATTCTAATACCTAATTTGTGTTTATTTTGATAATATTCTGTGCCATGCATTTCGTACTGGTATCGGTATATTTTAGAAATGTTGTCAGAGAATTTCTCGAAAAGATGAATAACATATTTCAAAGTTGAAGAACATCGTTCCTCGGGAGTTTTCTCATCAAACGATAGCTGAAAAGATATCAAGATTATTGGAAGCACAAGAATATTGGAGAGGCCTTGTTGTTAAAGATAAAATCGGAGTGAAAACATTTGAATGTTTTGTAATAACAATAGCATTGATGATAAATCTTGTAGAGGATCTTTTTAGTATGCATGGAGAGGTAATTTTTATATTGCCTGGAAAATTAAACCAGGATAGCTTGGAGAATTTTTTCGGAAAGTTTCGATCTTCGCTAGGAAATAGTGTACGAAATAGTGTTTTATGGCAAGATTATTGTCAATGAAGATACTTCGCTGTAGATTCGACAGTGCAAGCTGAAACTGTGAAGAAACCCATTATTTAATTGTAGATTAGCAGGACGAAATAACAGAGAGCCGGCAAGGAACGAGTGCAGACTGGATTGCCGACGTTTAACCATAGGAAATAGGTTCCGAAGTATGTAGTTAGAACTTCGGTGTCGATACTGATATCGAAGAAAAGAAGCAAGAGGAAGAACATACGTAGAAGTACCTTTCAGTATATATCATATATGCAAATATTTAAAAAGAAGTGTGCTGGACGTCACTTGCTAGACTCTATGTTAAGACTTTTGTTGTACAAAAAATCGAAATTCTTCACAGAACAGCATGCCGATTTTGACTATAGGAAATATCGAAAAAAACAGTTCAAATTTCATTAGCTAGAATTAGCTAATTGTTTAATTCTGGTATGTGAATAATATAATAATAACATAATATATATAGACGCCGTGTAGAATAAGTCACATATATGATATGGAAGAATAAAATTAATAAGTATATAAATAAAATAAGTAGATGAGAATATCATTACGATTTGAATTTTCATGAGCAAAGAAAGGATAAAATCAGTTATGCTGTACTTACGTCGTTGTAATAGAACGGAACGAAGTGAAATGGGACAATTTAGCGCGGTTAGGGGAAATTTTGTGGAAAAACGGATTAACGGATTAAAAATGTCGCGATGAATTTAGGTATAAAAACTCACTCGTAGAAAACAATGAGAAATATTCCACGAATTCCGCTAAGTGTTCATTAAATATTTCTCTTCGCATTCCGAGTGTTTTTTTTTTTTACTTGAAAGTGCAGCAGCTCCGAGACAGTTTTGCTTTGGGGGATCTGAAAAATAAACTTCTGTTTTATTAATATATATCTTCTTAATGTTAATATTAATTCATTTATTTAAATAATTCAGTTTGTGATAAAATAAATGACATTTGAAATTAATATTTTGTCGCTCAGCATAGGGAGATATCTGTAGAAGCACTCTCCCCTATTCATCCGTGGTTTACTTGGATATATGTCACAATAGTCGGTTGTTTCATGTTTTCCGGAATAACTTTTCCGCTTAGAACACACTACACTGTCCTTTTTTTGTAAGTCTTTGCGTTATATAAAAAATCATGCTCCTTTTAACGGATCGCAAACCTTTTCCAATAGTCTCCTTCTTCGATTTTTTCTCAAAAGAAACTTCACTAAGAGTGCACAGCAACTTTGGACACGGAATTTTGTACTCAGTGAAAGCAAACTACACTTTGTGAGCATTTTAATTTTAATAGCAAATGGCGGAATAGCGGCGCCTACGAAGTACAAAGAGTTAACATACTCGTTTAGAACTACGCTTGTTCTATCTCAATAAGAGCAGGAATATGTTATACACAACGGTTCCTTTACTTTTAATTTAAGACTTTATTGTAAGCCAATATTAAAATAATAAATTAGGATTGAAAAAATAGCGAAGCGTGAAAGCCGACGGCCGGAGTTTAAGTGAAATAGTGTTCAATTAAGAATACGAAGGAATTGTTTACGCTTGTAAAAGCGAATGGGAAGGGGATTAGTCAAAAAAGGAGTCGAAAATAAGTCGAATCAAGGGAGTTAAATTGCAATATTCGAACGGACAGTATAAGTCCCTGAAAATAATTTGTAAATAGATCTTCTAATCCTCTGAATGAAACCTGGACTATCGTAATAACCACAATTCAGTGATTCGAACTTAATCTCAAAAATGAGTTGAATAAATAACGTAAAATCACGGAAGACGGTTTACGTTACCATACAATAACCTACAATATATATATCTTTTTAATAACGAAAAATTTCTTCATATTTCTTGGTAAGAAATATTTTTATTGAATTTTTTACGTCAAAGTATTTGGAGAACACGGAATTCTTCAATTCTTCAAAATAAACGATGACAAGAAAACATATGACATTGGCTCCATACATGCCTGCTGCTTGGTCTGTTTTCGCACATACACACTTGTGTGTATATCATAGCGCATATTCACATAAAAACATAGAATGTGCTTTTAAGAAAATTCGACGTCGTGAACGGATTGACAGAATC